TGTTTCTTACATAAATGATAAGCTTTTGAATGATGATGAACAAGATATGTATTTTTAATTTATTGTCAAACTCCATTTGTGTATTCTTTGCTTCTTATTTGCTTCTAGAGCCAACCTATTTGCTTCTTAATTACAAAAAAGAAGGTGAAAAAAGCATCGAAATATACTCAAGTTCTGTTATTTTTCGAAATCTCTAGAGTCGGCTTACAAAAATAGCCAAGTTCATTATTCAAACACTTTCAAAAATAAACGTAACAAACTTATCAAATGTTCAAATAAAGTTGGGGTTGTCTAGGGTCCGAGAGGGGTTGTAGTACTCGGACCCAAACGATTGAAAATTAACCAATGAAAATGTGACACGTATGAATAGTACGAACCCCACAAAAAAAGTACGATACCTACCTTATAAGTGAAATTACATAAAAACCCCTATAACTAAAACTTAAGTAACAATTAATAATAATTAATAATTAGGGCCATGACAAGGGACTTAAATGCACATTGGTCCACATAAACTACAATCTTTCAAATAAACCCATCACCATGTATTTACTCTAAAATACCCTCCATAATATATTTTTTTATCAATTTCATCCATTATACTCTAACTTTCTTAATATTATACATTGACCCCGAATTTAAACAAATATATCACATTAACCCCCATTTTAATAATTTTTTGAAAAATATTTTTTCTTAGAAAATAAAATTTTTTCTGAATTTTTTTTTTCCGGCCAGATTCCGGCGTTGACCTGGCGGGCGTTGTCCGGCATTGAATTTTTTTTTTTGAAAACATTTTTTTTTGTGAATTTTTTTTTCCGGCTCTCCGACGTTGACTTTTTTTTTAATTTCGTTTTTGAAAAAACTTTCTTAGATAAAAATATTTTAATTAATATTACTATCTTGCCTACTAAATTACTGTCTCATACAGTAATATTACTATTTCAGACAATAATATTACTGTTTCAGACAGTAATATTATGAATATTATTTCCCGAACCGTAATATTACTAATATTACTGTCCCAAACAGTGACATTATTACTTGAGACTGTAATATTACGGTCGAAGACAATAATATTACAGTCGAAGACAACAATAGTGCAGGCCAAGACGATAAAATTAATTAATACAGTAATTGATCCGGAATGGAAATCCCTAAAGCCCAAAAGGCCTTACTTAGCCCAAGTCAGAATACCTCGTGAGTCCTTTGCCGTTAGGCCCAATGAAGGGTGGGCCAAGGCCCAAACCCTCTCAACCAGAACATCGACCTCCCGAGGGGACCAACTCCCGAGGGGTTCGTGGGTCCCTTCCAAGACCCTTCTAGCGGCGATGGAAAGGACCGCATTAATGACGATTGACAGTTTCTCAGTGGACCGGTTCCGGCGCATTAACTACTCTGTCAAATCGCATTTAATGCCTGAGTGATTGAAAGACCCGCCGTTGGTAAAAAGTCCCTCGTTTGGGCTAGCCCGTGAGGTACAGAAGGAAGCCGCTCTAGCCTCCCGAGGGAATGATGTCCACCGCCGCTCGAAGAAAGGGGAAAGGCAGCCACCTCGGCAGTATATCCGGCTTTCCCGGAGAATCCAAGGTGGAAGGTTATAAATACCTGCCCACACTCGGTAGGTAAAGGTAAGTAAGAATCCCAAAAAAACATATATAATACTTTCATCCACTCAAACCACCGCAACCAATTACTGACTTGACCGTCGGAGTGCTAACCCCGGCATCAGTCCGGCTAGCCCTTCTGTGCAGGTTAACAGGTTGGCAGCCCGCGTTGGAGTTATAATACCTCCGAACACGCCGCCAAATCTCCAAGGTGGTTTCGGGTGGATCAGTAATATTATTGTCTCAGACAGTTAAATTACTGTTGAAGACAATAATTTTGAGCCAAGACAGTAATATTAATTAAAATATTTAAAAAAAAAAAATTAAAAAAAAAAAAATCAATTAACAGTTAAATTATTGTATCCGAAAGCTAAATTACTCTAGCCAAGACAGTAATATTAATTAAAATATTTTTTTTAAGAAAAAAGAAAGTCAATTAACAGTTAAATTACTGTCTCCGACAGTTAAATAACTGTGGAGACAGTAATTTAGCAGTCAAGATAGTAATATTAATTAATATATTTTTTTTAAGAAAAAAAAAGGTTAATTAACATTAAATTACTCTCTCCGACAGTTAAATAACTGCTGAAGACAATAATTTAACAACAAATACATTAATATTAATTAAAATAGTTTTTTTTTAGAAAAAACAAAATAATAAAAAAAAAAAAAATCAAAGCCAGAGACCCTGCGATTGAGCTACCGGAAAAGAATTTCAGACAAAAAGAAAGTTTTGAAAAAAAAGAGTTAACGCCGGAGACCGTGGGTCTCTGGTGGTCTCCGGTGGTGGCGAGTCAAAATTGGGGTCAAAATTGAAATTATGGTAAAAAATTGGTTAATTGGTGAAATTGGGCTAAATTAGTTAGTTGAGGTATGATCGTGGAATTTTTTTTTTAATTTGGGGGGCAAAGTGCAAAAATGACCAAAGTTAGGGGCAAAGTAAAGTACATTTAACACTACTTTTAATTATGTGGTTTAATAATGTAAGGTTAATAAAGTAATTTTACATGAAGTACGACCTTTGTACGATCTATTTTTACTGGGTTCGTACTTTAATTTATAAATTCATAGGTTCGTACTGGATCGTACTAGTTCGTACTTTAAATGAACGACTATAAATTTTTACTAAATATTTTCTAGGGGTTGTCTAGGGTCCGAGAGGGGTTGTACTACTCGGACCCAAACGATTGAAAATCAACCAATAAAAATGTGACACGTATAATTTGTACGAACCCCATAAAAAAAGTACGATACCTACCTTATAGGTGAAATTACATAAAAACCCCTATAACTAAAACTTAAGTAACAATTAATAATAATTAATAATTAGGGTCATGACAAGAGACTTAAATGCACATTGGTCCACATAAACAACAATCTTTCAAATTAACCCATCACCATGTATTTACTCTAAAATACCCTCCATAATATATTTTTTATCAATTTCATCAATTATACTCTAACTTCCTTAATATTACATATTGACCCCGAATTTAAATAAATATATCACATTAACCCCCATTTTAATATTTTTTTGGAAAAATATTTCTTTTTTAGAAAATAATTTTTTTTTCTGAAATTTTTTTTTCGGCCAGATTCCGGCGTTGACCGGGCGGGCGATGTCCGGCGTTGACTTTTTGTTTTTGAAAACATTTTTTTTCTAGATTTTTTTTTCGGCCGGTCAACCGTAGTTGACTGCCGCTCTCCGGCGTTGACTTTTTTTTTATTTCATTTTTGAAAAAAAAATCTTAGAAAAATATATTTTAATTAATATTACTATCTTGCCTACTAAATTACTGTCTCATACAATAATATTATTGTTTCAGACAATAATATTACTGTTTCAGACAGTAATATTATGAATATTATTTTCCCGAACCGTAATATAACTAATATTGTTGTCCCAAACAGTGATATTATTGCTTGAGACAGTAATATTACGGTCGAAGACAAAAATATTACAGTCGAAAACAACAATAATGCAGGCCAAGACGATAAAATTAATTAATACAGTAATATTATTGTCTCAGACAGGTAAATTACTGTTGGAGACAGTAATTTTGAGCCAAGACAGTAAGTAATATTAATTAAAATATTACTTTTAAGAAAAAAATTTTTTTAAAAAGAAAGTTAATTAATTATTGTATCCGACAGTTAAATTACTGTTGAAGACAGTAATTTAGCCGGCAAGATAGTAATATTAATTAAAATATTTTGTAAGAAAAAAAAAAATCAATTAATAGTTAAATAACTGTGGAGACAGTAATTTAACAGTCAAGATAGTAATATTAATTAATATATTTTTTGTAAGAAAAAAAGGTTAATTAACATTAAATTACTCTCTCCGACAGTTAAATAACTGCTGGAGACAGTAATTTAACAGCTAATACGTTAATATTAGTTAAAATAGTTTTTTTTTAGAAAAAACAAAATTTAAAAGAAAAAAAAATCAAAGCCGGAGACCCTGCGATTGAGCTAACGGAAAAAAATTTCAGACAAAAAAAAGTTTTGAAAAAAAAAAAGAGTCAACGCCGGAGACTGTGGGTCTCTGGCGGTCTCCGGTGGTGGCGAGTCAAAATTGGGGTCAAAATTGAAATTATGGTCACAAATTGGTTAATTGGTGAAATTGGGCTAAATAAGTTGGTCGATGTATGATCGTGGAATTTTTTTTTTATTTGGGGGGCAAAGAGCAAAAATGACCAAAGTTAGGGGCAAAGTACAATTAACCCTACTTTTAATTCTCTGGTTAAATAATATAAGGTTAATAAAGTAATTTTACATGAAGTACGATGGAGTACGACCTTTGTACGATCTATTTTTACTGGGTTCGTACTTTAATTTATAAATTCACTAGTATTTCACCCGTGCGATGCACGGTGATCACCTTCGAGAACAAATGTACTATTGAACAATTTAGGATCGTAAAGAAAAATATTTCAAAATAAATATAAAACCAATATAAGCAAATATGTTGTTAAACAAAAACATTTGGTCCGAAGCAACATAATATTTGCTTATAACATAATGCATAAAATATTCCGTTCAACATGTCTTCCATATGAGAATGCTAGAACTAATTAAAGTAATGGAATCAAACGCACGGCACCACCTCGTTGGTCCGCTTAAATCTAACAGTACATAGTAGATATCCTGCAAAATTTACGTACTTCGCATGAATTGAATTCAATGCATTCTTTATGAAACAACAATGACAATAATGCGTAATCAAATAATATTTACATTACATTACTTACCAAATGCGAATGCAGCGAATATGCTAGAAATACAAAATCACGTGCAAATATACCTAAACATAAAGAGGATATACACACATTAATAAGACTAAATATCGTTATAATAATATAAATAGGCGATAATTTACGACATATACCTTCATATGCGCTGAAATACTTCTTTGTAAACAACGTTGCTAGTTGAACTCGACAACCCACCGGATTCGGACTTGATAAGGATCTTTATGCCAGATCTACTCTTGACTCTCGAGAGTGCAACGTACAACTGACCGTGGCTGAATACAGGTCTGGGTAGATACAAACCAACGTGGGAAAGTGTTTGACCCTGACTCTTGTTGATGGTCATTGCAAAGGAAATCATCAGTGGAAATTGTCGCCTCTGGAACTTAATTGGCAGAGTAGAGTTCGACGGGACCAACGTCATCCGAGGAATGAAAACAACATCACCGGTATTTTTGCCGGATAGAACCTTGCAGCTAAGAACATGAGTTCCCATTCTAACAACTTGAAGTCTGGTTCCATTGCAAAGGCCTCTCGCCTGGTCGATGTTTCGTATGAGCATAACAGGAACATTTTCCTTGAGTTTCAGCCTATGTGAAGGGAGACCGGAGCAAGACACGGTGTTGAGGAATTCGGTCGTATAAATTTGAGCATTCTCTTCCGAACTCATCTCATCCTTGCACATACTATCCGCACTTAGGTACAACTTCTCTTCGCCGGGAATGAGGGAACATAAGTATTCGTTGACAAACTCAACGCAGTCATTAGTCGGCGCAAGCACCGCCCTCCCTTGGAAGTAATCGGGATTTGATATGTTACTCAACAAATTCGGATATACAAACTGCAACAACTCCAATAATGGATCTTCGGAATCGGGAATTAGCATGTCCTCGGGAATCTCAACAGACGCTTCACCATCGTTTTGCTCTCCCGCCTCCCCATTACCGATACTCAGTATCCAATTAGCAAACTCCTTTACTTCTTCAACTTCCGATGGATTAGAACTTGATTGAAGCCTCATATTCGTATGCAACTTAAGAACCTTACATTCTTCCCAAAGCTGAGATGAGTTGATCGTAGCGTGAACAATGTCCTGCCTTGATGCCTTCAGTACAACAGGTAAAATCTGTCTAAAGTCTCCGCCAAGAACGACAACCTTGCCACCGAATGGTTTGGGAACATGCGTGATAGATCGCAAGGTCTTGTCAAGCGCTTCGAAACAATATCTATGCATCATCGGTGCCTCGTCCCATATAATGAGCCTCGCCTTTATAAGCAATTCTGCTTGTGGACTCTGCTGTGTAATGCTGCAGGTGGAACCATCGTGCACAATGATAGGGAGTCCAAATCTAGAATGAGCGGTTCGGCCACCGGGAAGCAGCAACGATGCTATGCCACTCGAAGCAACATTAAGAACTATTTCCCCCTTCGAACGGACAGCAGCAGACAACGTTCTCCATATAAATGTCTTTCCGGTACCTCCGTGACCGTAGAGGAAGTACATCCCGCCACAATTCTTCGACACAGCATCCATGATGGCATCGTAGACCCTTCTCTGCTCATCTGTGATAGAAGAAAGATATTGTTTCAGTTCTTCAGCCATCGCAAATACATCGTAGTCCAACTCATCGAGCACTAATCGGTTCTCCGTGTCATCCATCGACGAATCTAGTGGCATCGGCATAGAGTCAAAATTCCGCAAGCTCTTGCCGTTGCTCTGTAGGATCTTCTCGATTTCTATCAACGCGTAGTTCTTCAAACTATCATCCGATAGAGTCAAATCTGCATAGGTATAGATAGTAAGACAAATGTGTTCCGGACAAATAAGAACTTAAACAAAAATTTGTAAAGTACCACAAAACTAATCGATACCTGGATTATTATGACGTTTCTGGTGCTTGTATGTAATATCATCAGACAAATTGGACCAACATTTCTCCCAAACATGTTCCGGTCTGCTCAAACTATTAGAAAGCAACATAACAGCGAACAACAATCTGAGGAAGTGTCCGTTTGCCCAACCGTATGCCTCTCTAATTGCACCAATGTACTCCTTGTCATCTTCCAACAGCCCCAACATATAGCACGCATCCCTAAACGTCGCATAAACAATGCCACCCACCGTTCTGATGTCTTCGTAACTTTTGCACCCTCTTTGGACGTTGAGCAACAATCTAAGATAAAAGTCTTCTCCCTTTGTCGGGGGCACATTGGTGACTCTTCCAATGGCAAACCTCTTCTTTCTTGGCACCCATACCCGAGAATCATCCTTGTACACATAATGTTGGGGAAACTCTGCGTACCGTAACTCCCTAGCTGGTGGGTAGGTCTTGTTCGCCTCGAACCATGCCAAGAACATGGTTTGCCTCGCGGTTGGCCTTTCCAAGACACTCTTTAATGATTGGTTCTCATTGAATACCAACGGTTGATTGTCGGGGAGATGGAAGCTCAACCTAATGACGGGTGGATCTCGGTAATGTATCTCAAATGCAAATATCCTCCACATTGCCTCGCACGCAGACAAATATCTGCAGTCATAATACATTTTGATTTCATCACGAACAGCAGGACCGGCGTCCGTAGACGTAGGTTGGAAAAATGTTGCCGTGACACGATCGTGTCCCTTGTTGACGTACTTGAACAGATACTTTATTGACTTGCTCTGGTTGCACAACTCGATATTGATGTGGGCTCGGTATTTACTCAATAACACACGGTTGTAGGGAACCACAAATCCGTTATCAAGAATAGTATTCTTCTTCCTAACTGTTCTTCCATCATCCCTTCTCCTATATACCGGATAACCATCAGGGTCGGCCTCGGTTCGCTGTACAAACTTTTTTGGAAACCTCTTCGTGCAAACGCCATCCTTCATGCAAGGTGAATTCAAATTCGCATGGCCGCACGGGCCGTGTATCATGTATTTCTCAACCAAGTTGTACATCTTTCTGTCGGTTTTTTTGTCCGGAATTTCTGCACATATCATCCTATCGATGTCGGCGGAGCACTTAGGTTTGGCATCGTTTATCCAACCACAACAA